AAAAAAAATAGCTATACAAGCTTTGCCTATGTTCGACTGTCCAAAGGTTGACATGATCAAGAAAATCTTTTAATTTTGCGCCGCCTCCGAAAAGGTTGAAATGTATTTAATACACTACCTAACGAGTAAATAGGTTTCATTCATATCTGTGACGTAATTGTATGATTGAATGAAATAGAAATTATTTTATACTTTTTAGTGCATTTCGAAGTCGGTGTATTTTTTTTCTTAAAAGTATTTTATCGCGGGCTCGAGATAAGGTAACGGGGTCGAAACGGTTGTAGCTCACTCACCTGTGACCGGATGTCCTTCATTCTATGTCCGTTATAGCCGGTCTCGGACTGGTCGGTTAGATATACTGCACACGGCCGAGCGAGCCTCGAACACGTCCGTCACCGACTGCGCCTACCAAATGACTAGGTGAGCCGCGGCCTCGTGTGCTGAATCGGGTCGAGTCGTGCGGAGTCGAGTCGACTCGGAGCGGGTCGAGTCGGGTCGGGTACGAGTCGAGTCAAGTCCGAGTTCTGTCACGTGATCGACTATTTTCATCAATCGGGAAACTCTACGCTACTGTTTCGGCATTGAGTCATCGTGATTCACTGCATCTCGGAAAACAAATCGTAAAATCGAAGCACGCGTCATGAGAAGAAATGATGATTTATTTTTATCTGGAAATTGTAGACTTGTTTGAGACTTTGCTGCTTGGTTTCTTTGGAGAAAGTATTTAGTAGCTGAAGTTGAGATATATTTAGCAATGTAAATTGTTAAGTTTGTACATTCTTTAAGCTTGAAATTTTTTAATTCTTAAATTTGCATATTCTTTAAGCTTGAAATTTTTTAATTCTTAAATTTGCACATTCTTTAAGCTTGAAATTTTTTAATTCTTAAATATGCACATTCTTTAAGCTTGAAATTTTTTAATTCTATATTTTGCACATTCTTTAAGCTTGAAATTTTTTAATTCTTAAATTTGCATATTTTTTAAGCTTGGAATTTTTTAATTCTTAATTTTGCATATTCTTTAAGCTTGAAATTTTTTAATTCTTAAATATGCACATTCTTTAAGCTTGGAATTTTTTAATTCTTAATTTTGCATATTCTTTAAGCTTGAAATTTTTTAATTCTTAAATATGCACATTCTTTAAGCTTGAAATTTTTTAATTCTTAAATTTGCATACTTTTTAAGCTTGAAATTTGTTAATTCTTAAATATGCACATTCTTTAAGCTTGAAATTTTTTAATTCTTAAATTTGCATATTTTTTAAGCTTGGAATTTTTTAATTCTTAATTTTGCATATTCTTTAAGCTTGAAATTTTTTAATTCTTAAATTTGCATATTTTTTGCTTGAAATTGTTTAATTCTTAAATTTGCATATTCTTTAAGTTTGAAATTTTTTAATTCTTTAATTTGTACATTCTCTAAGCTTGAAATTTTTAGATCCATAAATTCACAAATCATCTTTGTAAATGATCAAGCCTTTGAATAAGTGCATTCATAAAATTCCAGATCCTTTTTACAAGCCTTTAAGTTTCCAAATACTCAAACAAGTTTTTTAAATTCCAAAATCCCTAAAAATATAAAAAATCAACACAAAACCCTTTTAACCTCATTGTAAATCATCCTCAATTTATGACAGAACGTTATAATAAAATATATAATTAATATCTATATAATCCAATGAAAACTTTCCTCATAACGTGTATTTTATAAAATTAAAATCGGAACAAGGCTGAAGTTTTAATACGAGGTTTGATTGTTTAAACGATTAACAAAGTTTTGGATCTAATTTGTCCATCGTTCCTGAAATGATTTGTACATTCAATTTTAATTGAGCCAGTACCGTGCAATTGCTCATCGCAGCTTTTTCGTGCTCATGAATCGCGTTTATATTTAAATTGTGATTCAAATAGCGGCCGAACCATAAATTGCTTCGTTCTGTACGACCGAATAATATAATTTTTAAATTCTTCACATTTATAATCTATTTCCACTTCACGAGTTCCTATTATTATTCAAACGTTCAATTACTGCTCGCATACAATTATCCTATTATTGTTTAATTACGAACGTTATTTACTTTTCTTACCAATTAGTCGTTCCACGTAAGAATCCCGTTGATTGAATTTATTAACCGTAAACCGCATTGTTGCCATAAAATTTATCTCACTCGAAATCAGTCTTAAAACGTGCGCAAATTACATGTTAGCTTTCACGAACACTCCACAAAAAGATTTGAATATTCCTAACCTTAAATTATTGCTTCCTATTCTTTTTCCCTCGTTCTTATTCCTCCATGCAAATGTAAAAACTATGGCTTGGTCCCGCGAGGTCTCAATGGCCGCCAGAGAAGACAGACAGATAAAGTCGCTAACAGCCGTGCTACAAAGTTCGTTTCTTCTGGCTCGTTAATATGTTAATACTCCGAGGAAAAATCTTATTTTATTGGCGAACTCGTTGGAAGGCTTTTGCTGCCAGAGTGTAAAAACAGTCGGAAAAAAAAACACGGAGTTAGGCGCTACTTTGGGAATCATCACTTACTTTGTAAATATGTAGGAATGTGGGGATTAATGGAATTGGGAGTTTAGGGTGGAATAGGGGGTGGGTGGAGATATTTCGGGGTTTGGAGATTTGGAGATATAGGCAGTTTGGGTATATTGGGATTTGGGGATATAGAGATGTAGGGACGTGGGAATTTGGGGACGTGGGAATTTCGGGACGTGGGAATTTGGGGACGTGGGAATTTGGGGACGTTGGAATTTTGGGACGTGGGAATTTGGGGACGTGGGAATTTGGGGACGTTGGAATTTTGGGACGTGGGAATTTGGGGACGTGGGAATTTGGGGACGTTGGAATTTTGGGACGTGGGAATTTGGGGACGTGGGAATTTGGGGACGTTGGAATTTTGGGACGTGGGAATTTGGGGACGTGGGAATTTGGGGACGTTGGAATTTTGGGATGTGGGAATTTGGGGACGTGGGAATTTGGGGGATGTGGGAATTTAGGGGATGCTGGAATTTCGGGACGTGGGAATTTGGGGACGTGGGAATTTGGGGGGC